TTATATTAATAAAAATAAAAATTCTTGAATAAAATATAAAATTTAAATAAAATAAAAAAAATAACATATTTTTTGGAAAAACTTTTTTTTTTTTTTTTTTTTTAATGTATGGAGGCCAATATAACTGGGTAACTATTAAGAAGTTTTATTCACATACATGTTAATATTTTATATTTAATTTTAGATGATATATTAATGATAAAATAATATTACTTAATTTTAAAAAATAAAAGAACCAAATTTACAATAAAATTTTAAAAAAAATGAAGATTACACATTTGTAATATGACGTGCAAAAATTAGATCACTAATGCAGAATGTAAATAAATATTTTAGCCTCTTAAAATTTTTAATATTTTTTATTCATTATGAAAGCTTCCCAAACTTTTCTTAAACATTAATCACATTTATGGGCATATATATATATATATATATATAATTAATGGGGTAATAACTTTTTTTTACGGAAATTAATGGAACTTTAATAAAAAAATTTAAAAATAGATAATGTATTATATATTAGAATCTAGCAAAGGAGAAAAATTTAATTTTTAACATAAGAGAAAAACGAAAGGTAATATTCATCTAGAAGGAGGAGAGTGTAATTTATTTTTTTAAAAATATATTAAAAACGACAAATAAAAATTTAAGAATTAATCGACCGAGTAGTAATTACTAATCCGCAAGTAAAGTAATTGAATACCTTTGGCTCATCCTTTGAATATGTTTGGGTCAGAATAAGAATGCACGTAAGCATGTAGAGAACATGGCAGGAGTTTAGAGAGAACATTTTTTCAGTGGAGTTTAGGTGAATCATACCCTAGCTCTCTTACAAGTTTCCCCACAAGTTCTTCGCAATAAGAAGAATTTATAAGGGAAAAAGAATGTGATCTGGCTCTACACTGCGAATACGTATAAAACATACAATTGGGTGGTTTCAATTCGCAACTCGTATATTTCCCTTTCTCAATAATTCTAATTATATTCCACATTTTAAAAGTATAAAATTAAAGTCACAAGAAAGATCAATTAATCAGTTTCGTGTATATATGGCTAGCTGAAATTAATTAGTTGAAGAAGACCTCCAAATATGGTCAAGACCCAATTACACACGTCCAATTGGTACTGTTGACTGACTCTTGGCAAGTAAACATCGACTAAGAGTAAGATGTGTTATTATTCCTTGAATATTTCACCATGAACCTTTACTTCTATTAAAGAAAAAAAATAGCTCACCGAACATTTTTTTTTTTAATTAAGTATCCCTAGGCATAGCTCACGGAACATTTTTTTTTTTAATTAAGTACCCCTAGACATAAGTCAAGGACTAACCCATCATGATGTTGAGATTGACCTTTACGTATAGCATTTTGATTTTCAGAATTAAAAATGAAATAAGTTGTTATAAAAAATATATATTATAGACATAATTAATTTGAATTTATATTAAAAATAAAATGTTTTAATAAATAAATTAAAATAAAATGGGCAGTGAGTTAAGAGAAGAGTCTTGAATTAGACTCTTGAGGTCAATGTAGAGACTTAGTAAAAATAAAAAAGAAACAAAAAGATTAAATCTTTTTGCAAGTCTATATTGAACCCTAAGAGTGTCTTTAAAAAAAATCCTCGAAGGATATATCAAAGAACATGTGGAGTAGAGACAAAAATGGTGGAAAAGTGTGTTAGTGCCTTAGGTGGTCACCTGAGGTAAAGAAAAAGTGAAAATGTCTCTTTCATGGACACATATGAGGGGTATGTGTAGTGAAACAATTTCTAAGCCTCTTAGGTTATTGATTGAAATTTGTGGATGCTTGTGGTAATTGTTTGATTTAGATGTTATTGTATGATGAATGTAATCCCAAATTCGTGATCCATGGTATTGATTTAGATTGTTTGGTGTATTTAGGGTTAGGGGTTATATGTATGAGTTTGGGGGTTCTTGTGTAACTAGATGAATATGAGTGTTTTGGTAATTCTGTGTTGTTCTAGGAATGTAATGTAACACTTTGTTTTGTGTTGATTATATGTTGCATGTTGTGTGATACTATATGTTGTTTAGTGTTGTTAAGTTGGTATTTTGTTTTATGCGTTGTTTTTAAAGATCTAATTAATGATTAAGGAATTTTTATGACTTTAGTTGTTTAGAGTTTTGTGTTAAGGTCAAAGTAGTTAACCAAAAATTGTGGAACATATACAAGGTTTTTAGAGAACTTGAACTTCAAAAGTTCATTTATGTGAATTCTAAAAAGAAGTTTTGGAGAAATAGACTCTAGAGCAAAAAAATTTTGATCTTCGATCTAATTCCACTATAACTCTTTTTTCTTTCCCTTGAAGGCTAGATTAAGTAGGACTAAAGATTCAAGTTAAGGAGATTAAAATCTTAAGAAGAAGTTGTACGAAAAGTTTCTTAATTAGTTGTTCTTTGTTGTTTCTCCCCTTTTCCCATGATTTTGGAAGCAACTGAGATAGAGGAAGTTTGTAATTGTGATTATTCTATTGTTGCTTAAGTTGATTTCAGTGTTGTCTTACCCATTGGTGGTAATTTGGGTTGAATTGATAATGTTGAAATTTTGATGTATGAAGATTGTATGTGGTAATTATTTGCAGTGTTGTATGAAGTCAAGAAAGGAGGATTTTTGAGTTCCATGTATGGATCATGTGTTATGTTAATTGAGTTTGAATTGAGAAGACAAGTTTTTATGGATAAACTTTGTCTTTTTCCCAAGAAGATAAACATGGTGCCCAGTGTGTAAGCATGGAACAATTGTCCATAATCATAATCTTGCTCAACGATAAAAGTGTTGCCCAACAAGAAAATGGTTTTGTGGTTAGTTTTGCATGAGGACACATAATGTGCCCAATGAGAAAACCCACATGGGGTTCTGCTCGTTTAGCAAGCTATGATTGCTTGATAAAAGAACCCAATAGATCAAGTTCACCCAGTGAGGTAAGGCCATCAAGTAATGAACTTTAATGGATTTTATTCGCTCGATGAGCCAAAACCCGCCAGTGAGGAAAGCACAAAATGTTTCTCGTTGAGTGAGAATAACCCACTTAGCTCACCCAATGAGACTACTCATGTCCAATGAGAATCTTGTTTTATAACAATTTATATTTTAGGGCCAAAGAAGGATGAGTTGTTTTATAAGTTGAAATATCTCATTATGTAGATATAAGTTGTGATGTGCTACGAGTTCAAAGTTAAAAATCCTTTAGTAAGTAAGTTGTTTCCGAAAACGGAAAGTTGTTTTTGAAAGTTGTCTCCTCTTAGTTTTTAGTTGATACAGTCGTTAGAAAAGATGGCTTAACCAAGAAGGGGGTGAATTGGTTGGTTAAAAATTTCTTACACAACTATTTTGGTTTTGAAAAACTTTTCTAAATCTTTCCAAAGAAATGCATTGATGTGTATGTGTATGTGTGTATATGTATGTATGTATAGATATTGTTGTAATCCCATGAAGGGCTTTAATGTGTAGGGATTTTTGTTTAATGGATTCTAGAATTATGTTGGACTATTCACCTATCATGTATGGGCTAATCTAGTTGTTCCAAGGTTGTGATTTTAATTGTTTTTTGTGAACCTCTAATGATTAATTGAATGAATTGTCTTTCTTAATTATCTTATTATTTTAGTACTTTACATTCTTATTTTTGTTAATTAATTATAAGTGTATGATCAAATTCTTTTGATTAACACAACCTTAAAATAATTAAATCCTAGAAATTTGCATGATCAAGTTTTTTTTTATTGTTGATCAATCAAGATGAAAGACATCATCCTAGTTGATTTTGATGATTACTGACACACACTGTTGAATGCGGTCAAATAATACTAGTTTTCCCTAAATTATGCAATACAGAGAAACCCTAGTTTGAATTCTCGGAAGACACAATTCATAAGAAATCAAATTTTATCAAGAGTTAACAAGGAGGTTTTTTACAAACAGTTTATGTGTAGAGATTATAACATATTGTAAAACTATAATTTAATTCTATAGAATTACGAATTTGATAATATAATCGGATAAAACATCAATTCAAGTTTCTAATTAGCACAATATTAAGAAATAATCTGAGTTTCACCATTTAATATTCAATTCGAATTAAGGAACGAAGAATGCAATTGCACTCTAAAAATCCTACGAAGACAAATCGGCTTTGCATTGTTTCAATCCGAATTGAATCTAATTCATTGTTCTAAAATTAATTTGAATTGATTATGTTCTTCAATTAATAAAAAATGTAGTCCATAATCATGAATTGAATTCAAAATTAATTGAAGAACAAAAGAAAGAAAAGAGGGAAATTTGAATTTGAGAGGAATTTACCGCATAATTAGAAACTTGAATCAATTAATTGAACTTAGCCACACATCTCCATTGTTATCAACTCAAAAATCTGTGCAGATAGAAGATGAAGAGTTTTGGCCAGAGAAGAAAGAAAAGAGAGAACTTGTGAGAAAGAAGAGAGTTGAGAGAAAATGGAAAAAACTTGTAACGCAAGAAATCTGAAGAAAAAAAAATTGAGGTCTAAAAACTTCTTGACTCCAATGTAATTATACTTATGTATAAACAACTAAATGGGGCTAATTATGACTAAACATAGCCTGACCCATTAATTAAGTCACTAATACACTAATTACAAGTTGTTAAAGTTTTAACTAGAAACAACAAAACAAAACTACATTGAACCACAACTTTCACTGCATTTTTTAACCTTTTTTATTTGAATTGGCTATAGACTTCAAAAAAGAAGTTGTAGCACTCTCTCTATGGTTTCCAAAGGTACCAAGAACATCCCGATCAAAGTTTAGGTGCTCAAGATACAGCCTGCACAAGACAAAGTGTTCAAGCGGGTAAAAATCCAAAAATTAAGTAAAAATTACGACAATTATCAAATAATACCATTAAGAATTGAATTGATCATCATATTCATGGAGTGAAAGGTTAAACTTCATGATTGATTCACCTACTCTAATATGTTCTGTACATCAGATAAATTCGTTCCTTAAACTTTTGTACTGATTATTTGCTTAAGTAGATTTCTTAAAAAAGGAAGAATCTTGTAGTGGGGTGCTACAGGAGAGTGCTTATTGGGGTGCAAAAAGTGATTTATTTAATATTGTAGAAATGTATTGCATGTGGTATTGTGATTGTAAAACTTTTGATATTAAAGATTAGTGAAAAATCTTAATTGGGTTGATTGGGAACTAGATGTAGGTCAAGTGGATGTGATTGAACTAGTATAAATTGGTTGTGTATTTTTCTCTCTCCCTATACTTGACCTTACATTCTTGCATTTTTATTTCTATGCTTGTTGATATGTGTTGTGAGGTATTAACATTTCATAAAAGTTAAGTGAATTTAAAATTGCATTGAATCTGAACTAAGTACCCCATATATACATATATAGATAAAACACCTCCCCATCTTCTTGGTTAGGCCATCTTTTCTAACATTTATTACTTCTCAATTGAATTAATTTATTAATTCGATTCTACGTTTCTATGCTTAGTTTTATGAATAAATCTCTTATAATCAATTTAAGATTTTTCTAAGACAATAACTATTGACTTCTTGGATCAAAGGTTGTTAACAATTTCATAAGTGAATTGGCAACAATGGTTTTATAATTTGTGAAAATCATCTTGGGGGGAATCAGGGACAATTAATCATAGCGCTAGGATTTTTAATCTTTAAATATCAACCAATCTCTTATCTGCTTTATTTTCCAAATTGTTAATTTCTATCATATTTTATTAAATAAAATTTCTATCCCTTCAAACTGTTGAAAACCACAATTAAGTTGATAATTTCTTAAACGATGGCCTTTCTTCTTTTGACTTCGCAAGATCATCTAGATCCTCCCTTGAAACTTTGATCGAGTTGTAGGGGTTGAGATTTTAGGTTGAGGAGATTGGAT